TATAAATATATTACATATATATTTAAAAAGTACATCATGATCAAGTGGGATTTGTTCCAGGAATTCAAGGATGGTTAAAATTCTAAAATTAATATAATTCACCATGTCAATAGACTAAAAAATTAAAACATATAATCATCTCAATAGGTATAAAAATTTTTAAACATAACAACCATTCATAATAAAAATTTTTAATAAACTAGGAATAGAAGGGAATGTTCTTAACTAGACAAGGGGAATGTACAAAAAACATCTATGGCTAATATCAATGTTAATGGTGAAAGACTAAATGTTTCTTCCAAAGGTTTGAAATCTAGGATGTCAGTTCACACTTATTCTATTTAAAACTGTAGTGAAGGTATAATCCATGCAATAAAACAAGAAAACAAAATAACAGGCATATAGATTGGAAAGGAAGACATAAAATTCTCTGTATTTGTAGATGATATCCTTGTCTACTTAGAAAATCCCAAGAAATTTACTTAAAAAAAAAACTATTAGAATAAATGTATTTAATAAAGTTACTGGATGAACGGTTAATATAAAAATGCAATTATATTTCTATACACTAGCAATGAACAACTAAATAATAGAAATGTAAGTAACTACATCATTTATATTAGCACCAAAATTCATAAAATACTCTGTTATAAATTAACAAAATATGTGCAAGATTTATATGCTGAAAGTTACAAAATACGATGAAAGAAAACAAAGATAAGAAATGTGTCATGTTTATAGATTAAAAGACTTGATATTGTTAGAATGTCAGTTCTCTTCAAAACAATATATAGATTCAACACAATTTCAATAAAAAGTAATCACAGCACAATTTTTTGTAGATACTGACAACCTGATTCTAAAATTTATATAGAAAGGCAAAGAGATACTACTACCTGATTTAAATACTCATTATAGTGTTGTATAAAAGAGGAGAAGGTTGGTACTCCCCTTGACAAGGATACAAGAGGCCTTTGGGCCTCACAACATGCATACAGTTAAGGCATTGCCACCTACGTCCTGGCATCTAACCATCGTTTTTGTACAAGAAATGTTAAAGGGACTTCAGTAAAAACAGAAAAGGTAAAAAAGAAAATAAAAATAACAAATGCGAATAATAAAATGGCAGTAACTATGAATCTATCATTAATCAGTTTTAGTGTAAATGGATTAAACGCACCAATCAAAAGACTTAAAGTAGCCAAATGGATAAGAAAACATGACCCATGCATATGTTGTCTACAAGAGACCCACTTCAGATCAAAAGACACTCACAAACTGAAAGTAAAGGGATGGAAAAAGATATTTCATGCAAATGGAAATAAAAAAAGGGGGGGGGTAGCGATTATTATATAAGATAAAATAGATTTTAAAACAAGGCTATAATAAGAGACAAAGAAGGGCATTATATAATGATAAAGGGATCAATAAATTAAGAAGACATAACCCTAGTAAACATACACACACCCAACACAGGAGCACCTACGCAGATAAAGCAATTATTGACTGATATAAAAGGAGAGATCAACAGTAATACACTCATAGTAGGAGATTTTAACACTGCATTGACACGAATGGACAGAGCTTCCAGGCAAAGAATCTACAAGGAAATGATGGGCCTAAAAGACACACTAGACCAGATGGATTTAACACATATTTTCAGAGCATTTTACCCCAAAGCAACAAAATACACTTTCTTCTCAAGTGCACATTTTCCAGGATAGACCACATGTTAGGACACAAAATAAGTCTCAGAACAACTCTAAGAAGATTGAAATCATATCAACCATCTTCTCTGATCACAATGGTATGAAACTAGAAATCAACCACAAGAAAAAACCTGGAAAATACACAAACACATGGAGACTAAATAAGATGCTACTAAATAAGATGCTACTAAACACATGGAGACTAAATAAGATGCTACTAAACAATGAGTAGGAAAATACACAAACACATGGAGACTAAATAAGATGTTACTACACAATGAGATGCTACTAAATCAATGAGATCAAGAAAGAAATCGAAAGATATCTAGAGACAAAAGAAACTGAAAACACAATGACTCAAAATCATGGCTGAAGCAGGTCTAAGAGAGAAATTCATAGCAATACAGGCCCACCTCAAGAAACAAGAAACAAGAAAAAGCTCAAATAAATAATCTAACCTTACAATTAAAAGAACTGGAAAAAGAGCAGCAAACAAAGCCCAAAGTGAATAGAAGGAAGGAAATAATAAAGGTCAGAGCATAAGTAAACAAAATAGAGTCTAGAAAAACAATACAAAAAATTAATGAAACCAAGAGCAGGTTTTTTGAAATGATAAACAAAATTAACAGACCCTTAACCAAACTCAAGGAAAAAGGAGAGAGTACTCAAATAAATAAAATCAGAAATGAAAGAGAAGAAGTAACTACGGACTCCACAGAAATATAAAGCATCATAAGAAAATACTACAAGCAATTATACACCAACAAATTGGACAATCTAGAAGAAATGGACACATTCCTAGAAACATACAAGCTCTCAAGACTGAGTTAAGAAGTAACAGAAAATTTGAATCAATGAAATAGAATAGTAATCAAAAACCTCCCCCCAGCAAAAAAATTCCTGAACAGATGGCTTCATAGGCGAATTTAACCAAACATTCAAAGAAGAATTAACACCGATTCTTTTCAAACTATTCCAAAAAATTCAAGAAGACAGAAGGCTCCCAAACCCCTTTTATGAGGCCACTGTTACCTCGATTCCAAAACCAGGCAAAGACATTACAAAAAAAAAGAAAACTATAGGCTGATATCTCTGACAAACATTGGAGCAAAAATCCTCAACAAAATATTAGCAAACCAAATTCAGCAATACATTAAAAATATCATACACATGATCAAGTGGAGTTCATTCCTGGGATGCAAGATTGGTACAATATCCTCAAACCAATTAATGTGACACACCACATTAACAAATCGAAAGATTTTTTTAAAAAAAGACATATCAATAGATGCAGAAAAAGCATTCGACAAAATCTAGCATCCATTTATGATAAAAACTCTCAGCAAAGTGGGAATAGAGAGAACATACCTCAACATAATAAAGGCCATATATGACAAACCTACAGCTAACATGATACTCAATGGAGAAAGGCTAAAGTGTTTTCCTTAAGATCCAGAACACGACAAGGATGCCCACTTTCACCACTCCTCTTCAATATTGTATTGGAAGGCTTAGCCACAGCAATAAGATTTAAAAAAAAGAAATAAAGAGTATCCAAATTGGAAAGAAAGAAGTAAAACTCTTGTTACTTACCAATGACATGATACTATATATAGAGAACCCTAAAGATTTCACCAAAAAATTGTTAGAACTGGTCAATGAATTCAGGAAAGCAGCAGGCTACAAAATAAATATTCAGAAGTCAGTGGTGTTTTTATACACCAATGATGAACTTTCGGAAAGAGAAATTAAGAAAATCTCATTAACAATTGCATCAAAAACCATAAAATACCTGGGAATCAAATTAACCAAGGAGGTAAAAAGACCTGTTCTAAGAAAAATTATAGTCACTGAAAAAAGAAATTGAAGAAGATACAAATAAATGGAAGCATATACTATGCTCATAGGTAGGAAGAATCAACATCATTAAAATGGCCATATCACCCAATGCAATCTATAGATTCAATGCAATCCCTATCAAAATACCAATGGCAGGAAACATGGTGGAGTGAGAGATGTCCTCAGATCTCTCCCCTTGAAACAACAATAAGCTGAAAATCTAAAACTCAACAAAAAACACTCAAACTACACACCAGCATGTTTGAGAGTGGGATCTGAGCATAAGAGCTACTGCAAGTCAGAACCCTGGGTGTCAGGTAGTGGACTTGGAGAAATAAAGAAGCTGCCTCTTGCAGCTGCCGGAGCTCCTTATAGGAAGAGGGGGAGGGGTGAAGGTGTGGGAACTTCCCTAATCAGCCTACCTGGAAGTACTGGAACTTCAGGCAGCCAGCAGCAGGGCTCAGTTATCAGGGCAGAAAGCAGAGAAGCAGGATGGGACTGAAGAAAACAACAGTTGATTTTAACCGGCTCCCAGATGCAAAACCAAGGCTGAGCCGCAGCCCCTAACTTCCAACCCAGAGGGTCCCTCCCCTCATATCCCCCACAACCGAATACCACAGAGTCAAAGAGGAATCGGAGCAAAAGCTGCTGAGACTTAAGCTACCTCGCACAGCCTCTGGAGCTCCCTGCAGGAGGAGGGGGATGGGAGAAGGTGAGGCAACTTCCCTGATTAGCCTGCTGGGAAGTGCCAGAACTTCTAGCAACCGGCAGCAGGGCCCAGTCATCAGGGCAGAAAGCAGAAAAGTGGGTCAGGACTGGAAAGAAACAACAGTTGATTTTTACCGGCCCCAGTTGCAAAACTGACGCTGAGCCACAGCCCCCAACTCCCAACCCAGAGGGCCCCTCCCCCCATAGTTTCTGAGACCTATCACCCAGAGCCCCACAGGAATCTGAGTAAACGCTACCAAAACTGTTGCTAACACTGACAGGGACTGAAACTGAAAATAGCAAGTGTGATTAAATATCTAAAAGAAAATAAAAAAGACATTTAGACTTTATGTAAAGCAGGGATCCAAGAGACTTGGACGCCACCTACTGGACACCAAAAGAAAAGCGTCTTCTTTGCAGCAGGCTAGAGAGAGACCTTTATATAACAAACCTGCTTTCTGGAAAAACAACAGAATACACTTCCATTAATGCCCAGGTGGAGAAATAGTCCATCAAACACCATGAACAGCCAAGGTGACAAGGCATCTCATAAAGAAAGAGAAAAATCTCCAGAAAATAAGCTTATAGACATAGAAATATGCAACTTAAATGACAGAGAATTCAGGATAGTACTTCTGAAAAATCTCAGTGAATTCCAAAACAAATAGATGAGCGGAGCAAGGAGATTGAAACTCTCAAAAAGAAACAAATAGAACATCTGCAGATGAAGAATACACTGCAAGAGTTGAAAAATGAAATAGCAAGCTTGGGAAATAGAGTCGAACATAATGGAGAAAAGGATCAGTGAAGACATAAATCTAGAAATAAATCAGAAGGAAGAAGAGAGAAATCAAAGAATCAAAAAATGAAAGAGAAATCCAGTAACTGGCTGA